CCCCCGCGTCGCTGACGGGCCGCGACGGGCGGGCGCCGAGGCTCTGGCCGCTGAGCACCGACGCCGCGTCCCCGTCGGCGCCCCCGCCGGCCTCGCAGCCGCCCGCGGCCCGGCTCTCCCGCAGCGTCCGCCGGCTCCTCTCCAGCAGCTCCAGCCTGCGCTGCCGCTTCTTGGCCGCGGCCGCGTCGTGCGCCTTGCCGAGCTCCGCCGCCTGCGCCCGGTCCTCGCCGCCCGCCTGCCTCTGGCGCTGCAGCTTCCAGGCCTGGTAGGCGGACAGGCCGGCGCCGGACACGCTCGCCCCGGGCGCGGCCTCCTCGCCGCCCGGCTCGCCGCCGCCGCCCGCCTCCCGGTCTCGCTGGTGGAACCCGAACTGGATCCGTTTGACCTTCCACCGCTCCAGGGCGGTGAGCGCGCCCTTGTTCCGGCCGCAGAAGTTGTGGAGGGAGCTGGCCGCGGAGGACACGCTCTCCTCGTCGTCCTCCCGCCTGCCCCCGGCGCCACACGCGCGGGCGGCTTCCTCCTCGATCTCCAGCAGCCTCTGGTTCCACGCGTCCCACGTGCCGTCCGTGGACACGGAGTCGGAGCGCGGCCGCCCCGCGCGGCCCCGGCTGCTCCTCGCCAGCTGCTGCCGCTGCAGGACCTGGACGTCCCGGCTGCTGACGCTCCCCGAGGCGCTGCTCTCGCTCCGCGCGTGTCGGCGCGTCCTCCGTGGGCCGGAGCCGGCGCTGCCCGCCTCCTCCTCCTCCTCCTCCTCTTCCTCCTCCCGCCTCGCCCACGTCCGGTGCTCTTCCGCCCGGTACCGCTCGTTCCGGCTCTGCCACTCCCGGACGATGGTGTCCACGTCCGCCTCCTCGGGCTCCGGCCCCGCCTCGGCCCACGCGGCCGAGCACCCGCCGCCTCCACCCGCGGGGAGGCCCTGGCGCCGCTCCCACGCCTCGTAGAGCGTCTCCTCCGGCTCCTCGTCGAGGAGGGTGAGGGGCTCGGAGGCCAGGCTGGCCTTCCCCAAGAAGGAGCCGCTGCGGCGGCTGGCGGCGTCGTCCTCCTCCTCCACCGTGAGGTCCTGCACGCCCGCGCCCCCGGCGCCCCCCGAGCCCTCGCCCTCCTCGTCGGCGCCCCGCTCCCGGACATACTCCTCCTCCCTCTCGTCCATCAGCCTCTCGTTGAGTTCCCGGAGCTGCTTCAGGAAGCCTTCGTTGGGGTAAATGGCCCGCTTCCTGCGCACGGTCATCAGCGCCTCCAGGATGGCCTTGCCGTGGAAAATCATCAGGTAGGCCGCCACCAGCACCGCCGAGCGGCTGACGCCCATCTCGCTACTGACCAGGACCTTCCCTGGAAAGAAAGAAAGCGCAGGAGATAATGGCACCGCTACAGCACGCCCTGCGGGGTTTGTTTGTTTGTTAAGTACTGCTTTGATGTGCTGGATTTCATAGGTCCTTTGCCTCTGGTTTTCATGCATGCTCAAGTCCAGTGAGGGGTGAGCATCACTGTCCCCATGTTACAGATGTCACACAGAGCGGTGAGGCTGCTCTGTGCTTGCGGACGCATTTTCTGCCCTCTCTGAGCCTGGGGGGGGAGGCTGGGGCGAGGGGGGTAAACAAAGGAGCTGACCACTGTCCCCACTTTTGAAACACATTTCTTTCCCCTGTGAGCGTCAGAGGGTGGAGAGATGAAACAACAACAAAAATAGGGGGGCGGGGGAAGAAAGAGGAAAAGAAGAAGGCTAAAGTGAATGAGTCAGTGATGTGGAATCTTGATGCTGAAAAGCACCTAACATCACAGCGGAAACCCACAAATTCCCCGCACAGAATCCTGGATGCTGGATCGTCAATCACTCAGCCTCTGCTGAATGCTTCCAGTGACAGGGAGCTCACTACCTCAGACACACACACACACACACACACACACACACACACACACACACACTCTTACTCCATATTTAGACCACTTTAAGTTTTTGAGAATTCCTTCACATGTTAGGTAGGGCAGAGTATAATTTTCTGGAACAAGCCCTCAGGGCTCCCACTCTGACGTTCTGGGGTCGACCACGCACACCCCTGCCTGAACCAGGCCTTCCGTACAAAGGTCTTTAAGGAGGTCACTACCTTACTCTTCGCTAAATTTTATTTTTTCTTTTCCTGGCTATTCTGGGTCTTTCGATCATTATTCAAACAGCCTTTCATGTTCCATGACTGTACTAGCTACTCTCTTCCGGGTCCAACTTTAACTACCATGGAAGATTCAAAGGCCAGAGGCTCTGTCTGCATCTGTCACCCCAATGCCAAGAGCAGCTCCTGGCATGCGTCAGCTCCTCGAGCGTCACTTTTTAAATGAGTGATTGCCGTTTCTTTCCCACTCTGCTTAGAGCTGGAGGGGCTCATCATGCTGGGGAGGTTCTCACAACGTTCCCCGTGTTGCTTCTCTGGGAATTCCAGAGGCGCAGGAGGCAGACCCCCCTCACCTCTGCAGGTCAGCAGGGCTTCATCCAGGAACTCGGCGGCCTTCCGGAAATGCTGGGAGATGTCCACCTCGGGGAAGTCGTCTACCTCCACGCCCAGGTACTGGATGTCCAGGCCAGTGTAGAATTCGGGCCCAGTGTAGACGCCGGTGCCGTGAGCAGCATTCAGGATGTGGGTAATTCCCAGCCGTTTCAGCCTCCCCTTGTTCACGGCTACACTCCTGAGGAGGAAGAGGCAGGAACATTTGTTTTGTTTGTTTTTGCCAGAGTCAGAGCCGGAAAGCTGCATTACCCCCGAGACTGCGAGCCTGCTTCTGCCAGGTCAGGAGGGTCACATCTGGCCAGGGCCTCCCTCTCTGCTCCCCAGTTTGTCTCAGGCTCACTGCAAACACAGCTTTAAAAAGGGGCCAGTGACACACCCCAGCAAGGGACAGGAGGCACAGGTGCTGGGCAGGATGACCTGCAGAGCGAGGCCAATGTAGAAGGAGGCTTTTGGATGGTCCAGAGAGCTCCGATTTAAAACCCCATGTCTGGGGAATACGCATCCATCAAGACACACAAGTGCAAAGACAGTCATCGCCTCAGGTGTGCTTCGCACGGATCTGGCAAGCTGTATTTCTCACAGTCCTTCCACACGCATTATTTTATTTTATCCTCATAATAAACTGAAGAGGTAGACAGGGAAACTATTTTTATTCCCATTTGAAGATTATAAAAATGAATCAGAGAGCTTTTATGACTTCCCAAGACTAAATGGAGAGAAAGGCTCTCCTCGAGGACTGCTGACTCGGGTTTCTAGCTCAGAGCTCTGTCTCCGGCAGCGGAATGAGGGAGGCCCCGAGGACAGGGCAACCCAAGAAGGAGCAGACACCTTCAGCTGGGGACGACTGGAGATGCCTGGGGCTCCTGGGGACCACGACATGACCATCTCTGGGTCTACAGAGCTCATTAGAGATCACTGAGGACACGGTGTCCAGCTCTGGGAATTGGGCTCTGGGCAATTGATTGCTCCATGGTGGAGAACAAGACCCAGCATCCACAGCTCTTTTCCCTACTGTCCCCCTGGGGCCCCAAATCCCCTCCTTTGCTTCTGGATAGATGGGTAATTACATCGGGAGAACTTCTCGTTAAGTAATCAGTGGCTCAGCAAAAATCGGGTCCACAAACTAGCCTATTGGTACCGTTTATGCCCTGGCAGGGCCCTGAAGGAACACATGTGAGAGAGTTGTTTGGGGTTTGTTCTGGAAACCACTGATAAACTTTTAAAAAATAACGTGGGTTTTTTTCCTGATTATAAAAACCGTAAATGTTTACTCTAGGAAATCTGTACAATTAAAAAGAAACCTAAGGAAAATAAAAATCATTTGTAGAACCACCTCCTAAGAGAAGTACTATTAACATTTAATGCATTTGTTTCTAATTTGTTGTCTATGCAAAAGCTATACACACACGCCTGTATTACTCAGTGTCATTCATAGTGTAGACTCATATCTATTGTAACCAAGTTAATTCTCTTAGTGTATTGTGAACACCTTCATGTTGGTAAATACATGTAAAAATCAATATTGTCAGTGGCTGTGATTGTCATGTGATATGGTTGTTATGGATGTTGTTGGATGATGGTGATTGTGGGGTGTGCTCGCAAGGCTCTGGGGCAGGAAGGCAGGCATAGAGAAGGCACTGGGGGCCAACGCTACAACACAGAGCTGTGGTGGGAACACAAAGGGTAAGTGAGCCCGCATTTTGCTGGGGGGGGGGTCATCTCTATGTGCAGACAGGTAGTTGGGGCCTTTCTCCAAAGCAGGGGCTGGGTGAGTGGGCGGCCAGCATCAGGTTTCTGGATGAAGCTGTTGGGGCCTTTGGTGAAATGTGGGGGAGTTTCATCTCTCTTGGACTCCCCAGGGAGGCAGCAGAAAGGGCCGTGACCCCCCGGCTGCCAGACTCACTTCTCTGCTATGAAGATGTTGGGCCAGACCTCATCCACCTCGTTCCAGGGGGCCTCCTGGCGGTCTCGGACCAAGGCCCGCTGTAGGTCCAGGACACAGGGGGTGTTGTACAGGCTGGCATCGTCCATCTTCTCCCGGACGCGGTTGTACAGATCTTCCACCAGCAGCTGCTCGGCCGACTCCAGCATGCCCAGACACTCAGCATCGGTCCTGAGTCCCCGCGGCTTGAGTTCTAGAGGGGACAGGCAACATTGTCATCGGAGAGTTCGGAACCCCACGGCCTTCCTAGTCCTGGGAAGAGCCTGCTCCTGGCCAGTTCACTGCCAGAACTCTGGACATGGGCTGAAGCGCCAGGAAGGACTCACTGAGGCCGTGGCAGGCCGGCATTGGCCTGGACACCAGCAGTCAGGACTAGCGGCAGCGTGGGTGTACAGGTGTAGGTGAGGGAAACCACTTTCCCTTACTTGCCCCGCATTTCTCTCCCGCTGGCTGATAGTCTCCTAGTCTGAGGTCCGCAAGCACCTGGCATACGTGTATGTCTGACTCATACTTAGAACTTCCACAGTGCCCCCTACAAAGAAGGAGCATTTACTAAACGAATAAATAGCATTCTTTCCTAATATAATTCACTCTGTTACTGGTGTGGCTCCTTTGCATGTGGAATGCAAATGACCCTGGGAAAAGAAGAACTTGCAGCCTCCATTTTTTGCTGTATCGCCTCTGGGGCACGCTTAGTTTAGTGTCTGCTCTTCTTACCGTCCGCTCCCTGCACGGGAGCCAACGTGCCCACACTTCTCTGTCCCCAGCTCTCCGACAAGCACACGTTGGCCCTGGGCTCCAATTCTGGTCTCAAAATAGCACTCAGGGCCCTGCCGACGCCAGGCCAGAAACGCTCACACACCAAATGAACTCAAATTCTACTCACCCACATCTCCAGTGGGCCATGATCTCCTCCTCCTAATCTACTTGCTCCCAATTTTTCAACTTTCGGAGGGAAGTAAGATATTTCCTTTCTCTAAGAAGATCTATAAGAACAGGGGAGGGTAAAACCATTCCTCCCACCTAGCAACCAAAAAACGCTGAGCAGAGAGAAGGGGAAAGGAAGTTTAGCAGGAAGGATGTCCTCTGAGTTGGCCATGACCCTTGGTGGCACCATCTCCCTCCCGGATGGGTGAAGGCAGCACGCTTGGCCGGAAGACGTGGCCTAGGCCAGGAAAACCTCTGTGGTCCCCAAGCTCTATGGTGTTTAAAGAGAGATGAAGTGTTCTATGTTCTCCACACTCCATGTCCTCCCCCGGCTCTGCTGGGGTCTCACAGAGCACGTGGGAAAGCGCCCCTCCCCCCCTCCCCTGCTGACATCTTCCCTTTGCTACAGGCCAAAAGGAACGCTCCCCAGCGCCTAACAGTAAACAGCATTGTCTTCCTCAGCCATTTGCATAGCAGGCCACGTTTTGGTTTTTTCCCTTCCTGGGTTGAAGACAAATGTGCCAGCCCCTGGTCCCCGCTGGCAGCTCCTACCTTCCCCACTCCCACCCCAGTCTCCGTCTCTGGTCCACGCCCCAGCCTGTTCCCATCCGGCCCCCTCCCTGCATCCACTCCCCCCATTTGTCCCCACCACCTGAGGGTCCCTCACAAGAACGTAAGGCCACACATGTCCGTTCTGCACTGCCGGGTGTGCGGCACAGACAGGCTCTCAGGAAAACAGGGGGCGCTTTGACGTACATTCTACCCCCTGATCACGAGTGAGCAGGGCCATGTTTTCAGATATCACCTGGTTAAGCTTTCCTTTCTCTGCATGGTTTTTTAATTTCACTGTGGCCCTTCAGCCACTAAGACGACTGAAACGTAGACCCCAGAGGAGGGCTCAGGCCTAGGATAAAAAGAGGCAGTGCTCGGGCTTTGCTTCCGGTCTAAATGTTGAGTGTCCGCAGCATCCCACAGACTGGAAAGCGATGCTTTCGAAGGCCAGAGATCGATATCTTGGTGAGAACGGCTGAAGCTGGCTTTTTACTAATCAGGAACCAAAGCCTGGAGAGTGGTCCAGAGCAGGGTGAGGCAGGATGGGCGGTCAGGGAAAGTCCCCAGCACACAAGAGGGAGAAAGAACTTCCAGCCCTGGGGGCGGTGCCGGGAGCAATCCCGAGAACTAGAGCTGGTGAAGACACCATGGCCTGGCTTGGAGGGCGGGAACAGAGTGGGCCAAGGAAACAGAGAAGCCACAGAGACTCCTTTGAGAAGATGAGGCCTCCGAGGGTACCCACGTCCACAAGCAACTCCTAGAATTTCTGGTTCCTCAGGAGGTGGACAAGAGAACCAGATGTCCCAGGACCCTGGTGGGGAGCCTGGCCAGGGAACTTGGAGAGACCTGGGGTTACACAGAGACGGAGCAGCCTGTGTGGTTCCTTGAAGAAAGGCCAGGAAAGGGTCACGGCCCCCAGCGGTGGGTGCCAAACAAAGCCCACAGGCCAGCGGTGCCCTGAGTCATCAGCGCTGCCTGTCCCACCCCAGCCCACCACAAGGAGAAGCCCCCCGGGGAAAGGAAAGAAGACATTGTGAAAGATTATTTTCCTAAAACTGATCGGGGCGGGGAAAAAAATCCAATTGGGATGAGTATCCTTGAGTGAAACTCAGTATGTTTCCTGCTCCACAATGTACTGAGCAAATAGTAACAGCTCTCCCCACCCCACTTTCCCCACCTGCTCCCCATACAGCCCTCAGTTCGGAAGCCACCTGGAAGCACAGGGGAAGTTCAGGTCTAAATCTAGACACCCTCCAGAGCTCTCTGGGTGCTCCTAGCCATTTCCTGGGCTCTCAGGCCTGCATCTCTAGCACAGGCCACCCTGGGGGCCCCTGCAGTAAACTGAAAAACTGAATGGGGGGCGCCTCCCTGGCTTCACTAGAGAACTGTTGACGCTAACGCATATTCCCATCTCTGTCCTGAAACGGTGCTTGAGGAGGGGTTGGCAGAGCTGTCTCTTTTGGATGAGCTCCTCTTAATGTGATGGACACCCCCACGGACCCCTTTGAGGGTCTCCAGATGAGCTGAGGACACGCCCGACCCCCACCCGGCTCCTGACGGCATTACCTTTACTGATGATCTGTTTAGCTGCCACGGCTGAGGAGAGGTGAATGGGCTCCATGAAAATGCTTTCCGTTTCTGCCTCAGAGACCAGGGAGTACCTGGGAGAAGAGGCAACACAGGTGAGAGGACTCTGGCAGCAGGTGAATGGCAGGCGTTCTTTTCACACGAGAAACCTGGGCCTGCTTTTAGCCCCAAATGGGAAACAGTGGGAGAGAAAAGGTACACCTTCCCAAGTTCGGGGAGCCTGACAGGGCAGGACGCTGGGTGCCTGGGGCTCAGGGGCCCTTCCGCTTCTAGCCCAGGGTTGGCACCTGTGTGAGCTGATGCTGAATGCCATGGTCATCTAGGTGATAGAGGGAAGAGGGGATGTCTACCATTGGGGGGACTCACCCTGATGGGGCTTAACTTTCCCTACTGAGTTCCCACCCTTGGGTGTCCTGCTGCTAATTTTTTCCTCTTGTCCCCTGTCCCTCTGTTATCAATACTATGGGATGTCCATCACGGTACCTGTGCCAGTCCTGCTGTTGGGCTGGGGAGGCTGCCGCCAATCCCTCCGTGCCCCATACCTCCTCCCTGCTTGTAAGGGAGTGGGCTGGGGATGGAGGGCTGGCACAGGGCCGGGGAAACATGACCGTGTGCCCAAATACACAGTCCCCGTTCTGACCACAAGGACTAAAGAGTCAGCCCGAGCTCAGGGAGATAATGAAGCAACAGGCAAATTTCTACTTAGCCTTTCCTTTAGGTCCAGAGAGGTTAAAAAAACAAAAGTGAGAGGCTCACAGCATAGCTTTTTGTTTCTATCACCATCCCCTCATGCCGCCCCTTTAAAATCAACCCCTCCCTGCACCTCGTCCCGTAGCCATCACCGATCTGTTTTCTGTCCCTATAGTGTGGCCTTTTCCAGAATGTTGTATAAACGGAAGCATATATAAATGGAATCTTTTGGATCTGGCTTATTTCACTTTGCAAAATGCATCTAAGAGCCATCCATCCTGCGGCATGAATCAATAACTTGTTTCTTCTTATTGTCGAATAATATTCCATTATTTAGGCACCTCAGGCTATTGCTGCCACACTGTCACGCTCCTCGAGTCAAGGCTGAGGGTTCCCGAGGGGAAAATGATGCTCCCACGGCTGCTTGGTGGTGCTTTGGGTCCTGGTCTTCTTCCTCAAGCTGCCTACCCCTGCTTACTTTTCAGAGACCTCCAACAGCTACTGGAGGGTCCTGCCCAGCTGTTATAGGGGCAATCCATGCGACAGTCCAGGGGGAGGGTGCGTTCACCCTCTCACCCAGAGCCAGAGCCTCTATCCCTGGGCTGTTTGCTCTTGAAAGTCTAAAGTCAGTGTGTTTCCTGATCCTCGTAACTGACCAGTTTTATCCTATGGAAACCTGCAGGATCTGAGTTGGTTCCCAGAGTTTAAAAATTTCCCAGTGATGTTCCTTGGTCTATTTTCATCCCATGGTTTCATGTTGGGGATGGAAACCATTTTATTTTTTAAAGATTTTATTGGGAAATTGGGGTAGGGAGACAGCATTGGGGAATTGGGGAAGGGAAACAGACAAGTTGCTGTCCTTTTGTTCTTCAGTCTAGTTGTGGAGGACGTCGCTTCACTGGCCCAAGTTGGCACCAACACTGCGCTCTTCCTGGGTGAGGCAGTCACTCGCTGGCCATTGACGGCCACTCACAGCGGCTCATGGCAGCTCACGAAAGCGTACACCAGCTGCCGGCCCGCCCCACTGCAGCCTACGCTGTCGCCTCACGGCAGCCCAGCTCCAAGTCAAGCTGTTGTTCACCACTTTAGCTATAGAGGGCACAGCATCACTAGCCTGCACATGGGATCCAAACCAGGGCCCTGCTGCTCAGAGCTGGCGTCCCAAGCCAACTCTTAACCAGTGCGCCACTTGGCCGGCTCGGGGAACCATTTTTTAGTCCCTTCTATGAATTGAATCCTGACAAAACTCTCACAAAATAGGCATTAGTATTCCTGCTTTAAGATGAGGAATCTATAGCTCAGAGAGGTTAACAAAAGCACTCAAGGCAGTAAGTGTTAGGGTCGAGCTGCAAACACAGGGGAGCCTGCTCTAAACCCAGCTTTCTTTTCCACCACAAGACACTGATACCATTTAGATTGGAAAGAAGGCGAGTCATTTGGTGGAAGTAACCCCAGCTGGACCCCCAGTCTCAGCATAGACTCTTGACACCTACAAAATGCTTGTTGAAACCATGGGTGGATGGAGGGATGAATTGGGTTGAATTGAGCCAAGTCCAGCTGAACTGAACACAGCTAAAGTGAGCTAAGTTTAGTTGAATTGAATTGAATTGATTAGCAGGGTAATTCTTTTATAGCCGACATCCATACCAGAGTCTACGCTTGGCAGAATGGTGTGCTCAGAGCCAGCGAGGCTGCAAAGAAAGAAATGTCTTTGCCAGAAGAAAGCAGTAGCCTACCCAGGACGTGGCGAGACCTGCCCGTGCCACATGAGGGACAGCACAACATGACATCATCGTGGGTAATTCCTGAGGGATTTCCCAGAGCAGTTGTGTAGGGTCATATCCTTTCTAGCACCAAGCACTCCTGTGAAGGGAAGATGCATTTTCGCATCAGTGTGACTGGGGCTTGGGGGTGGATTAGGGACGAGTTTTGTGGGACATTATCCATGGATGCTAGAACCAGAGAGGTCTTTAGAGGTCTCATTGCTTGGTGAACACCTGGTGAGGGGTGGGCGTGAGCTCCGTAAAGGTACAGACAGGTGATCTTTACCCCTGTATCTCCAGCATGTGGAAGGTGACCAAGCAGGTATCACACCTAAGTGAGCAGATGGTGGCCGGACAGATGAATGGCTGGATGAATGGCTGGAATAGGCAAGGTGCCCACATGCCACCCTGGGGTCCAAGGCCCTGCGGTCTCTGGCCCCCTCTGTCTTTCCAGCCTCAGCATCTGTTTCCCTCTGCCTCCCTCCTTTACAGGACCTGGTCGTTTGGCTTTGCATCCTCACCAAGTTTCCTCCTGCCCGGGGACTTCGCAGAAGGCAGTTCCGCTGCCCCAATGCTCCATCCTACCCTGTCCTCCCATCCTTCAGATCTTAGGTCATTCATTACCTGGTTAGGAACGTTGTCCCTGATCTCCATCTCACATGACACCATCCTCCTGTCTTTATAGCACTGCTAGTAGCGGCACAGTTACATTTACTCATGAAAGCATCTGATAAATACCCTTCCCATACCAGACCGTAACCTCCACGGGGCAGGACCACAGCTGGGGATTTGTATGACTGCTGGGTTCCCAGTACCTGCCCCATGTCCGGCACAGAGCAAAAGCTTAATAGATATTTTATGATTCACTGACTGACTGAATTTATCATCAGTGGTATCGTATTTAAGGGAATGGAGCAGTTGTAACAATGAGCAACACATATTTAATGAGTATTTGCCACTCGCTCATTATTTTACTGGGATACCAGCAGGAAAATGAGGGTCCTGGCTCTGTTCTGTCCGTGCCCTCTGCCCACCTGAGGCCAAAACATACACAACCTCCGAGGCCAGCGTTGGCATAGAGCCAGTTTTCCTTACGGTGGATTAAAGGTGGCCTCAGACCGGTGACCCTTCTCGCATAGAGAGGTGGGGTCTTTGTCCACTTCACTTGAATCTGGGGTGTCTCTCGGACTGCTTTCACCAATAGACTACGCAGGAGGCGACATTGTGCCAGTGTCTGAGCCCAGTCTAAAGGGCAGCTTCCGCTTCCGGGCACTGGCTGTTCTCTCTTTGGAAACCCTGACCTGCCGTGTAAGAAGTCTGACTACCCCACGACCACCAAGCTGGAAAGGCTGTTGGTCCAGCCCCGGCTGGGCTCCCAGCACCTGAGCGTCTTAGAGGTGGATCCCGCACCCATCCGCGCCCCCTGGCGGACACCGCGTGAAGCACAGGCAGGCTGCCCCGCCCAGTCCTGTCCAAATTGCCCACTGAAAGGGGAGCACTGTAAAATCGTTGCCTTCAGTCATTACGTTTTGGGGTAGTGAGTTACGCGGCAATGAATAACGAGAACAGGCTATTCCAAGGGCTAAGAAGCGAATTTCGAGCAAACACCGATGCACTTTTCTCCCCAACAGCGATGTAGAACCTAATAAATACTAGTGACTGACCCAAACCTGCTGCAGTTGAGAAGTGAAAACAAAATAACGCCAATATGAGACAGCGGGCCCTGTCCCCGTGCCCAGCCGAGCGGACAGTCTGCGCCCAGGATTCAGGCCACACTCAGTTCTCATAACACTTTGGTCAGAGCCTCGGGTTTCATAGCCATGTGACATCTCCATCTCAACAGTATTTATTAAGGGAGATTTATTCTTTTACTTATTAATAATTAATAGTATTTATCCTATTATTAATACTTGTTTTGTTTGTTAGGGTCAGTACTATGTAAAACGAGGTTGAGGGGAGATCGAAACTGGACACTGACAGGGTAATTAGCCGGCATTCTTGTGCAGCTCTGGGCTGACAAAGCGCCTTTTCCAGGCGGCCAGCCCCTATTGCTCCCACAAAGGCAGTTATCTTTTTTCCTCTGCCAGCCTCCAGGGCTCTGCGTTCTGTAATCAGCACTCCAGGCAATAGGCACAAGGTGAAAAAGACACAGGAAGAGCCCTCACCTGTCAGGTGTGCAGAAAGGCCGGAGAGACGCTTAGCAGGTGGCGTCACCGGGATCCCAGCCTGGGACTGCACATCTGCAAGCCCTCGGCCGGGCCCTCTTCCCTAAACAGCGTTGCCTTCAGGTGGTGTGGACTTGGTTTTAAGTGACAAACACTGGTAACTGAGCATCTGTCCTAAACAAACCTCAACTCTGAGGCTGGGGGTCTGAGAGGGGAGCACTTGGATTAAGACTTGAACCCAGAGATGACCGAGCGCGTCCTCCTTCCTTGTGGGTGGACAAGATGAAACTCAGCTAAAGAGCCAGCAGGGAGGAATCCCGGTGAAGAAGACCCCCTCTGCAGCCCCACGCTGGGTCTGTTCCTGCCGCTGACGAAAAAACATGAAGCCAGGCAACGACGCTCAGCATCATCCAGTGTCATACGCAGGGTGGGGTCACAGTGTTTTTATGAGTCAACTGCAATGAGAGGAGGAGACAGCAACCTGACGGCCATAAAACTGTTCTGCCACTGACACCGGGGTTTACAAGTCTATGAAGAAGGTGTGGGGGGAGGACCTGGAAGGACTTGCGGGAGAACAATGTCCAGGCCCGGAGGAGTGGGTCCTTCGTTCTCCACGGAGGAAGAACGGAGGGAGGAGGCGAGACCCAACACTGGCCCTGCTTCTATTTCCAAGGTCAGTGAGCCGGCGGCGGCCCTGCAGGTTTTGATTTATGACCGTGCCTGTGCCGCCACCCGCATCCCCAAGATGGAGCGAGATGACACTCACACCCTGATTAGAATCAGCAGAGGCTGGCCATTCAAAAAGACAGGCAGGGGAACAGCAGGTCTGGGATCGATATACACCTCATCACAGGATAAGGAAGAAGCAGCTAAAAAGCCTTGAGGGCGGACTGAAAGAGAAGCCATAAAGCGGAGCCTGGCGGACTTCTAACCCAAGAGCACAAGACGGTGTAGCTTTCTTTCGACCTGTGCTTTTCAAAATCGCACACTGCGACCCATTAGTGTATTGTAAAATCAATTCGGTGGGTTGTGCCCAGCTTCTGGGGGGGAAAAAAACACAAAAAACAAAGAAAGGAAAAAAAGAATAGCAACACCCATCGTAAGGATAAGTATAATTTTGTGAAACCTTTAAAAAAAATTTTTGCCTACCTCTGAGCTGAGGTGCACATGGTGTGTCCTACTGCACATTGTAGCCAGCATCGTTTGAAAGCTACCACCATAAACCAATTGATAGGGTGTCCAGACACAGGATGAAGTGGAATTGGGGTCCTTCAGTCCAGACCCCCTGACAGCTGATCACTTCCCTTCAAGGGGTCCCCTGGAAATGAAATGGAGGCAGAGGCCCAGGAGTGGGGGGTCTTTCTGAATTTGCCTTTTGCAGAAAAGGGACAGATTTCTGAGCTCCCTCTGAGTGTCCGTTCACACCAGAGAAAGTGACCACACAGGCCAAGTTCAGGCTCCAAGGAAGGAGAGAAGTCAGCAAACTAAAGCAAATCGACTTTTAGCCAGCTGCTTCCAGCAGGTTTTGTGAAAGAACAGAGGCAGACAAATCTTCACTGGGAAAAGAAACATGAAAGCGAAGCGGTAGGTAGGAGGAGCTGTTTCCCATGGCCGGCCAGACCCGTCACCCCAGGCCCCCTGCTCCTGCTCCACCTCCCCTGCCAGGCACTCAGACCGCACTGCAGGAAAGGCAGGCAAGCAGGGCACAGTTAAGAAACTTCACTGAAGGTAGAGGGGAGATGCCATCACGAGACATGGCCTGAGCAGATCACCAAAGAGCTCTAAAACACTGCCAAGGCTTGGAAAATTCAGATCCGAAGAGCCAAAGCAAGGAACGGGTTTCGACTTGGAAAGAAATAAAGGGAACCAGAAAAATGAGACCCGCCTTGCACCTTTGCTGCCATGTCTCCCTGTTTCCTACCCGCAACCAAGAGTCTGAGAAGTTCCATCACGCCGAAGCAATAGGCACTTAATAAAATGCCTATTCCCTAGGGCAGTATTTACAATATATAGCGGACTTTATTTATCCAGCCTACCATTAATGGTACAGTTCATCATGTTGTTTAAACATTCTATATCCTTAATGACTGTTAGCTGCTGGAATGTTCTGGTACTTCTGGTTCACACATGTACTTATTTCTGTTACGTATGTATCAGGAGTGAGCCCGCTGGCTCATAGAGCCCACGTATGCTTAGCTTTCGCGGATACTGTGAAACAGTGTTCCCAGCGCTTGTACTAATTTACACTCTTATCAGCAATGAACGGGGGTTCTGATTATGTCACGTCCTCATTAGTATGTTCCTATCACTGGTCTTTACTTTTAGTGTAGTAGTACTGAGTTGTGGTTTTAATTTGAATTTCTATTATACCTTTTTGTTTTTATTGAGGTCTAGCTTAAGTCTCCAATGGTCAGAAAACATGTTTTGTACGATTTCAAGCACTAACAGTTCGTTTGATATATGTATGGCCCAGTGTATGGGGTTTTGGTTAAATGTGTCCTGTGTGTGTGACAAGAATCTATAGCCTGCAGTTGTTGGGGACATGTTCTAGAAATGCCAAGGAGAATCCTTTTGTTTACTGTTTTGTTCACACTTCCCATAAATTTTAAATTTATTTTTCAGTTACAGTTGACATACAATATTACATTAGTTTCAGGGGTACAACATAGTAATTAGACATCTTTATACCTTACAAAGTGGCCACCCTGATAGGTCTAGTACCCACCTGGCATTATACATAGTGACTACTATATCATTGATTATATTCCCCATGCTGTACCTTACATCCCTATGACTATTAATTGCTAGTTATAAAACTTGCTATATTCTTGAAGACTTTTTTTCCTCATTGTATCAATTGCTGAGATTGTTTTGTAAAACATATACATTTGACTAAGATTGTGGATTTTGATTCTTTCTCCAGTGCTGTCCATGTTTTGCTTTATAGGTGCTGAGGCTATGTTATTAACTCATAGAAATTTAAAATGATTCTATCTTCCTGGTGAACTGAACCTTGGATCATTACGGAACTTTCCTCTTTGCCTCTTACCTGAGAGTTACCTGTACCTTTCTCTCATTACCTGTAATGCGTACCTTAAAGTCTTTTTTGTCATTAAGAAATAAATCAAGATTGAAAATTGTATCTAAGGGAGAACTTTCGGGTGTAGCCTGACTCATGGAGCTGTGGTCTATGAAGGATCAGAAGCTTATTAAGTTTCTGAAGGGATCATACGTGTAAAGACACCGCGACACGCAATGCCCATAAGCAGGATGCTGTCTGCAAAAGCTGTGCAGCCGTCAAGGAAGACACACTCTCCAGCCTCACTTCAGGAATGGCCGAGGAGGATAATAAACAAGGAACAGAGGCACAGAGGGTGCAGCTAGAGGCCACAGGGAACAACAGGCCCGGGAAGGCCACCCTGAGAGCCAAATCAAGGTCAAATCTAAGCCATCTCCCTACGTCTGGGGCCGACAAGCTGGACAAGCTCATTCGCTTTGTGGACCGATGGCTGCTGTCTCTCCCATGACTCCTTTGTCAAGTGGGAACTGTTTCACACTTATCCTGGTGGGAGCATGAGGTGCTGCATTCACACCTGGGGAGAAGGTGCATGTCCTCCAGACAGCCGAGTGCTCGAACTCACGGCTGGTCAAGGGGATCTGGGGTCGTCTCCCTTGAGAGGGAGGCAGTGATTGTGCTCCACGAGTGGGAAAAGGGCACGTGAACATCAACGGCCCGAGGGGCAGACTGAGGCTGAGGCTGCTGTGTGTCGACAAGCCCAGCCGCTCGTCTCCCCGGGCTCGCGGGCCTCCTCTCCCGTCCTCCTCACAGGAAACCGTGGCCTTGCTACGTTCTCACCAACGGACTATGAGTGGAATCAAAATGGCCATTTTCAGGCCTCGCCCCTAAAAGCTCCTGAGAGCTTCCTCACGTTCCTCCCACGTTTCTTGAGGCGGATGAGCCGGTCACTTCAGAAGCCTTAAAATGAAGGCTCCTGCGGACAACAGGAGCCCCAGTTCCCGAATCACTGCTCAGGCCCTGCTCTGGGATTCATGTGAGTGAGAAACCATGCCCGTTTGCTGTGGCAGTTAGCACTGCCCTCAGGACTGCACCAACCACCCCCTACCTGGCCGCACACGAAGCTCCCTCTGCTGTCTGGGAGTGTGCTGGGGCCAGCGGGAGGATATATTTAACATCTCTCAATCCAGACCGTTGTTCTAAGTGGGAACCTAATGCCAAGTGGGGTGTTGAAGGGCAAGTCCCCAGGCTCCGTTCGGACAAAGGGCCAGGCTTGTGACTGGTGAGCACCCCACCTCACTCCAGTGGGGAAGCCTTTTGAGCCCCGAGAAACAGGAGCCAGCAAGACCCCAGGAGAGCTGAGGGAAAGTAAAGCCTGTCCCGAAGAAGCTTGAGGTCAAGTTACCTTGAGCTATTCTAGTTGGGTCGCTCCTTCCGTTTTTACAGATAAGGAGACACAGGCTCAAGAATTAAAGCGGATTTTCACATAAATTCGGTGACAGAGCTAAGATGAGAAGTCACACCCACTATTGCTTTAGCAGGCAAAGAAGCATTTCTTTGATGTCTCATGGTTTTTCTTAAAATATCACGAACATTTTTCATTCTACACCACAATGTATTCTCAATGATTTTATGTAAAAGGAAGTTTTACATTGTCATAAAATAAAAGGTCTCTCCAGGAAGATGCACCATGTTTATGAGTCCCTGAACTCACTGCCACTTGCCCCCAGGCAGGTACATGTCCCAGTCCGAAAGGCACAGCTTGATCACAGATGAAAATTATCTTAGCAGCAGGGCCCGGTCTGGGGCCTTTTCCTGTTCTGCTGCCCCACATTCTCTTATAACCTACTGTCTACCTCCCCAGATCCAGCCTCAATCCTAGTGAGTCAGGCACGGCCCTCCAGGGAACCCTGTCAGCCGCCCACCATCCTTGGAGGTCCAGGCCAGCATCCCCTCCTCCAGGAAGCCTCCTACGCCCCTTCCAAATCCAGTTGTTCCCATTCCCGGCCCACCACGCACGAGACCCCGGGCACCCTAACTCTAACCCTTACCATGCACATCACAGGGCGGTCTGCTGGGGTGTCTGCCGCCTCTAGAAAGTGTGACACATAAAGAGCACGTCACACTGTTTGTTGAATGAGTGCATTTAGGGTGGTGGCTGCAGGCTCCCTGGGGCCCACACCCCGCCACGGCTGGAGAGCTGTGGACCTCAACACTTACTGGCTCGGAGAGGGGCTCCGGAGGTACCGGGCCTGCACGGCCCTCACATCCACTTCTTCCTCTTCACCTGGGACCACCTGCTCCTCGTCGGGGTCCCCACCAGTCGCCATGACGGCCTGCCTGTCAGCCTCTGTAAGTCTGGCACGAAAAAGGCGGTTAAGGCATCTGGTTTCGGAGGTTTTGGTGGGGGGCGGGGAAGGGTATGTCACTGATGTCACCTCAGTGGAACTAGAAATGGGAAGGTCACCATATGCTAATACTCTGCTGGGGAGAAGACCCACGGCGACAACCAAGTCAGACTTGGCCCAGGACACCAAGGGGCACACCTTGGCGTGTAAAGAGCCCACCTTGGAGTCTCAAGATTTAAGAAGTGACAACATGGCTCCTTCCACAGATGCCAGCAAAGAAATGGTGAGGCAGCGGAAGTTTGCCTAAACTATAGCTAAGACCATTGGAAAACGGCAAATTCCTCAGACCAGAAAGATCTTTCTATTGAAATCCTTGGGCATGTGTACTCACACACACGTGTGCACGTGCACACATACGTCAACACACACCCACCTGCACTCACACACACACCTTTTGTCTCTGTGGAGGGAGGGGCAGCTGTCCCTCTTCAGGGTCTCTAACCGAGGCCATTGGAGTCACTGCCTTTGGCACAGGCGCCATCCCCCAGCTATTCAGGAACACAAAGTCCCCCGGGAGCTGGTCCCTGACATGGGAGGGCCCTAAGGACACTAAGGACAGAGGTGCTGCCTCTTGGCTTTAAGTCCTGGGCCCACGGGACAAAATGAAGGACGTACACTCACCGCTGCTCTGCCTGCATCTCCACACCAAGGGACAGTCACCCAAGGACCGAGGGGCCGAGAGAAAATGGCCAGAAGCCTTGAGCAGCGAGAAGGGCCCACGCACTCCTGCCCTCACTGCTTCTTCTCTGAGAGCAAGACAGCTGTTAACGGGAAGCCTTAGCTCCCTTCTAAATTTAGCCTCTGGCCCCAGCCCGCAGATATCTGGGAAGAATGCAGGCTCAGGACCCAGATCCAACGCAGGGCCCGCTTAACCCTTTCCCTCCGGGCTGATTCACTGAGCTGAGCAGCCAAACTGGGGAGAAGTTCGTGCTTTAGACACGCTTTGTAGAAGGAGAGACCTCAAGGAAAGCTTTTCTTTGGGTTCCCTCTCCACACTGTCCAGCGTGGGGTTGCCCACTCCAAGTCCTTCCAGAAGATAGTCTGAAGCCAAGACTAGAAGAATGAGACACACGGTACCTCAGCCCCATGTCAGCTCAGAGGGGGCCATGCAGAATGGGCTGGACCCTCTGATAGCTGTTGGGAGAGCACCCTGATGCCACCAGAGGGTAGGCGTGCTTGTGACCAGGGTTAATTTCTATGAACAGAGATGACTCGGGATAGTGAACTGGATTTTATCCCTCCCCCATGCTCACACCAATTGGTGATTTTCAACTGGCAACCCTGTGTGATAAAAAAAATCCCATGAGCTTCATAAACTTCAGATGAGCTCATAACCCACCCTGTAACTCCACACTTCCTCCCACCATCACTGTGATCAAAGCAAAGTCCAACAGCCAAATAGTTCACCCCCTGTCCCACACGTCCTGTGATTAGCCATCCATCCATCCATCCATCCACCCATCCATCCATCCACCCATCCATTCACGAATACCTACTATGTGTCAGGCACTGCACTTGACCAAAATTAGTAATTACATAATTCCATGCTTGAAAGGGTCTTTCCTCCTGGCTAAATGGAACAATGCCTGGCACACGGTATAATTAAAAATTGACTGAAGAAATGAATGAGCTCACAGTTTATTAGGAGGACTGAGACACAGGCCAAAAATAACTCAAGCGTAAGGCAGACTGTAGTTAGTGTCCTAAGAGAGATCCAGAATGCACTGTGAGTTCAAAGGAGGGAAAGCCCTTCCTTTGAGGAAGTCAGGAAGGGCTCCGTAGCAGCAGAGATTATATCCAAGCTGGCGTTAAAGGGCGAGCTGGCTTGTGACGGCAGATTCGGCGGAGGAGGGGATGCCAGAGGGGACAGTGCTGGGGCAGGAAAGCATGACCGCTGGGTGTGCAGAGCTGTCTAACTGGCTCACAGCATAAGTCGCATATTTTGGGAGAGACGTTTTGGGAGGGAGGCTGTGTTTGAGAACAAATACTAGAATACGTGTACACAAAATAGCTGCGGAAGAAACTGATAACAGTGGCTGCCCCGGGGCAAGCGGAACCCGGGGACTGGGAGACAGAATTGGGAGAAGGCTAGCTTTTACTCCGTGCTTCCTTTTGAATATTTTGAATTTTGTAAGTATTCAGATGAATAAATTTGAATAAAATGTTTGTTGGCAGCTGAACTGGGCAGAAGGGAGAGCCCAGTGTTTTGTTACGGAGGACAATTCCTTCCTGCCTCATCTGCCTAGAACCCACCACACCGGGCACATGGTGGGTTTCAATAATTACTTTTTTAATGAATGAATTTCCTAGGGAGTCCTCCTAAGAAAAATTATTAAGTGAAGCATGGATACGTTAACTTAAAAATGAAAAGGCCTTTCAAAGTGAGAGGCAATAAGCATTTATTTGAGATCAATAAGAATAGCCATTCGGGACGCCCTGATTCAAGCAGAAGCCCATATGGTGTTTCGATGAGGAGCTACAGGCCAGGGGTGTTTGTGAGGGGGGCTGGGAGCAGTTACACGAATAGCAGGCAGGCATGTTTATTGGTGCAGATAACCTAAGATAGTGATGTTAATTCTAAGCATCTTTTAAAATTTCAGGCCGGTGGTCATAATAACGACTGTTTTCTTGTTATCTTTGCAGGCCGCTGTTTGGGACTCGAGGTTGCGCTAGGCCCAGTCCAAAGGCTATTTTGCCCTGGTTTAACATTCCAAATATTTGAGGCATGGACGTGCAAGGCAGTTAGTTGGTCTGCCATGGCAGCCTCGGCGCCATTTAAAGTGGCTCCGTTTATATTGTTTTTATTCACAGTGGGAATGGCGCAGGAAGGGGCAGGGAAGGGCTGAAGGTGGCATCAGGCAGGGCCAGGCACACGATGACAGACGCCGGTAGGGACGGAGGAGGGGGGAGGGGGGAGATGGACCGCCAACGCGCTAAGACAGGCCACTGAGAGGGAAGGGAGCCCTGGGGAGGAGCGAGGATGGAGGGCGTGGTCTACCCTCCGTGGGCACCCCTGAACTCACAGAGGCTGCATCTGGGCCACTGGAGTGGTGAACTAGAAATCAGAAAACCACTCAGCAGCTGAGTGCCCTTGGAGAACTCGCTTAATTCCTCTGAGATGCAGATCCCCGCTTGTAAACTACAGCGTCCTGATACCCAGCTCCCCGCTTTGTTCTGACCACCCCGTCTGAAGCAGGGCCCTCTCCTCTGGCCCGTTTCATGTTCTGTATCGTGTCCCAGGCTATATTTCCCCCCAGGTCTCTTGTTCTTTAAGTTGAGGACAAGCCACCCCGGGTTGCCTAGGACTGAGAGGTCCCAGGGCCATGGGACTTTCGGTTTTAAATCCGGGACAGTTTCAAGCAAACTGAGATGTGCAGTCCTGGTTTTTCTAAGGTTGCAGTCTTTGTTTCCTTGGGTACTGCCTATCTCCTGACCAGACAGACGGTCAGCTCTCTGAGGGGAGAGATTTCCTGCGTTCTCATGGCTGTGTCTCTATCGGGGGGTGGGGTGGGGTTGTGGACAGGGAGGGGAGTAGAGAGACACATCATATTATGCCTAATGGTGTTTCAGCAACTGTGGGCAACACCCTTCTTTTATTGGCTTCGGACCCCCTCTTTTGAGATCAGTTCCCTTTTCATTACGAGGTGGCAATTGCCGGTCCATTACCGCCAGAGCCCACACCTTAGGGAGAAGCCCAGGACTTTGTACACCTGCCAAGTAGAGAAAAGGCAGGCAGAGTGACTGGTTCAAGGAGAAGGTGGGGAAGGTTCCTGCTGTGGCCTTTGGTGGAGTAGGTGGAGCACAAGTCCAGTCCCACAGGTGAGCTCACCTGTCAATCCAGCTGCGGGGTGGGGTATGCAGGCCAGGCTGAGCAGCGGGGGACAGAAAGAGGAAGCCACAGGAACTGAAGGCTGCCCAGCCAAGGACTGTGGTCGATTAAACAGTCCGCCCAGACCTGTCTGGGCTCCACCGGTTCCAGGCTGGGCTTGAGGCAGAACAGAAGCAAGATCATGGCAGGGACGCTGTGGCCTGTGCTGTGGACATTCTGTGCGGGTGAGTAGGTCCCGGCCCTGTCCAGTGCCAGGCGGTGGGCGAGACGTGGGTGCTGAGCTCTGTCTCCGGGAGCGTCCCCAGGGAGGGCCCCCAGGGACAGTTGCGCTACGGCTGGGCAGAATGACACATTGTGTCATTCAGACGGAAGCAACCAGACTAGCCCCCAGAATCAGAAGGTTTTTATTCGCATTATTAGTGCATAGAATTCCAGCCTATTTCTGGAATGAAGAATTCATAAATTCTCAAGACCATATATTTTTATCCCAAATCAGAGCATAGGATCAGACACGAGATCTGATCATTGGGGCAAAGTATTTGGAATTGAGTTTGTCCTGGAAAATCCAGGATGTATATACCTAGATATGTTCACACCTTAGGATTTTAACCATTGCTTTAAAACCAGAGAAAGAAGCAATGGTAAGAGTGTTAACATCCGTATCACATACAGGGAAACTGAGGCAGAAAGACAATTCTTACCCAGTGTCATTCCCAGAGCAGAAGACACAATCCTTCAACAAAAACACCAGACAGGCGCCTTCCAGAGGCTCAAGTTCCTCAGCCTCCCGACACTCTAGTCACTGAAAACTCGGGAGACGGGGAGCCCCCAAAACAGAAATCAGACCAGTTGTCGAAATACAGCTGAATCCAAAGCAAGCACTAAATAGCCAAGTCGCTGTGTGGGAGCCACGGAGCTTCTAGGGTTAGGATGGAAGGCTTGCCTCAGGGTCCTGGGCATGGCGGGAAACAGAATGGGGAAGGGACGCTGGGAGACGGGGCTGGGACCTTTAGAGGTACAGTGAGTTCAGTGTCCTTGGCAACACTGAGAACTCCATCAGCTTGCAATTTCGAAGCTATGGCAGGCTCCAGGGATCTGGGAAGAAAGGCGAGGCGGTGAAGGGTTATTCCAGGAAATGTAGGAGTCCCTAGCTGGGGACGTGGAACTAAGGAAGCTCTGATTAGAGCTCACCTTTCAATTTGCGCAGGCAAGCCCCAGCCACAGGCCTGCCCACCTGGGCAGTCCTCCCCGGCCCCCAGGCTCCCCGACCTCCCCCATCTCTCAAAGCCTGGCCGTGGGGCCATTGGGTGGAAGGCAGCCTCGTGCTGGGGAAGGGCTTGGAAATAGAGTTGGCAAAGGTTGATTCACTCAGGCTGGCTCAAACCCGTCAGGAGGTCCATCAGTCATGGCCAAGGGGCCCTTGTCGCCAGGTGAGAGAGCCTGGTTGGTTCATTCCTTCATCCAAACAGCTCTTTACTGAGCATGTAGTTTGTGCAGGCACCCAGGAGCGAAGGTCTGGAATGCTTGCAGTAATGAGGGAACCTTGTCAGCCATCAGATCCAGATGGGAATGGGGAGGGAGGCTGAAAGGACGTGACCATCCTGTCGGCGTGGGGGGGGCTACTGAGGTCTCCTGTGCTGCCCGCCTCCCCTAAACCTGCATTTGTAGCCTGGCTGCAACCCATGCATGAATAAAAAGAAGAGATTTTAGCTTAGGAAAAAGAAAAACACAAACAAAACACTCACACAGCTTTGAATGAAAAGTGGCATTAATTTTGCTTTGCCTGGAGGGGTACGGTTTACCTCTTCCTGTGAGAAGGCACGTGACCCCTGGGTGAACTCAGCCAGTGGAACCAGTTCCCGGGCCTGTGTTCAGATACACTGACAATGTGTCTTCTGCCCCCACCCCTGATCCCACCTTTGCCTCCATACCTTAGAGGAAGGGGCTGAAGCAGTGGGCTGGAGGAGCCCAGGCTCGGGGGCCAGCTCAGAGTGGACATACTGGGGGGAGAGATAGCCATTGCCATGTGCAAGTGAGCAGTGAAGACCCTCCAAGGTCAAAGCTCAGAGCAGGGGGTGGCCCTCCCCACATGGCTTATGAAAGGATGCCAGAGGAAGGAGCAGGGGAATTGGGGAGGGCTTCTGGAAGAAGGTGGTGCTTGCGTTGGGTTCCAGAGGACCTACCGTCTGCGCCCGCCTTCCTTTCTCCATCTGAACTTGCCCAGAAATAACTTAGCTTTTGCTCATGTCCTGGGCAGAGCCACACCGAGCTGATGGGCACAGGACCCATCGGACTTCGGGGAAGCGGAAGCTATCCCATGAGGCCACATGGAGGGGACACGCACAGAAGGCAGTGCATTAGAGAATTTAAAAACAATGCTGAAACCGACTAAACGCCAGCCTGACAATTCTAAACAGCGGCAGTGACAAAACGCTTCTCCCTCCCAGGGCGCAAGCTCTCCGTCTCCTACCGAGGCACTCCAGCCATCACAGGCACTCATGGGGGCAGCCCTCTTCCATAACAGCCTTTATCACGGCTCAGGTCGTTCATCTGTACATACCTCTGTTTCCTAATCTGTGAAACGGACAGGGTAATCTGTAATGCGTAAAAATGCACACTGTCCCTCCCAGAGGTTAGTATGGCTGTTAAATGAGCTTGTCGGTGTAAAACCTGGGAAGGGTGCCTGGCACAGAGCAAGCTTCGGTAAATGCCAGCTATGGTTGTAGTGGCTGTTACTGTTAGTGTGGGCAAGTGTACGTTACAGGAAATTAGCTAGACTTTGGCAGCCATGTGCCAAGAAAGAGGGTCAGAGTCACGGTGGATGAGCCCGAAGTTATCACCCCTTCCAGTGGCTGCTAGAAAAAAAAAGCTCCAACTTGTGCACAAAACCAAGGCGTTTCCACTCTGGGAATTTTTTCGGCCACCAGACTTCGTGAAAGACTTGATGTGATGGGAGGTACAGCTGTAGGAACCGAGACTCCTAAAGGGGAACCCACCAGGGGAAAAAGTCCCTGAACAGCTCTGCCCAGGGTCTCTCAAATCTTTGAAGATGTGATAAAAGAAACACAAACAAAAAAAGCCCCACCTTCTGAGAAGGAGAGGAAATTTCCTTGAAACTTCAACTAGAAACACTTAGGAAAATACTGCTTTACACAGAGAAATAAAGGAACCCATCATCCCAAAATATACCAAATGAGAAAATACGTTTATTTTCTCCCCCGTCTATAAAAGTTTCAGTAAACCCTCAAATGCTTGATCCTTGCTGGGGTTTTGATGGGAACAAAGTTTTGAGGCTGCTCAGGCCGTTTTCGAATCCTTCACTAAGGGTCTTGGTCAGAGCCACAAGAGGGTAGCTTTTGCTAGCCGCCTTTGCATGCCCACTCGGAAGTGCCACGTTCCGGTTAGTCACCCAGGCTCCAGAGCTCCTGGGGCCTGCCCTGTCAGAGGGTGGCCTGCCTGCGTCAGCATCACTGGCATGCCTCAGCCTCAGACAGGCACACCTGATGAGACTCAGATAAGGGAGTGGCCGTGTGCCGAGCTAACCTGGCCCTGAGGGTGCTGTCAGGCAGCCCGGACTTTCCTCTGTTCTGAGGCTGGAGCCCTGAGGCCACTCAGGTCCCCAGGGCCTGGCTCCCACCTGGCGCCTGGGCAACCCCTGCCGGAGCCTGAGCACAAGTCAGAACCAGCTTGTAAGGCGGGCTGCTGTGCCTGGGGACATACACTGTCTGCCTGCAGAGATGCGATCAATCGGGATGAAAATGGCCCACGACTGGCCCAGCCTCCAGGGAAGGATGTATCGACTGGCTAGCCTCAGAGAGGAGGACTGGTGCTTTGGGGCAGTGGCTAGCAACCCTGGCTGCCCATAGAATCACTGGGGAGTGAAAGTACAGACAGCCAGGCGTCCCAGAGCCTCCGAAACAGAATCCCAAGGGGTGGAACCTGGGCGCCTCTCTGATTTTGAAAGTTCCCCAGGCGATGCTGGTGGGCAGTGGAGACTTCAAGCTGCGTATTGGAACTGGAGGAGTTCGCCTGTTACGGGGCTGGAACTGGGCCTGTGACCTGCAGCTCACCTGCGCCCTCAGCCTGTTCCTCCAGTCACTGGAGCTGGGATGGTTGATCATCCCCCTGAAACAGCAAGAGTGCCCTGGGGAACACAACCAGGGACGAGGTACAGAAAGTGAAATGGGGGCAGGGCAAGGGGCCCCCCATTTCTGGCCACATTGGCAGTGACGTGACTCCAGAATTACTTTGTAAGAGAGTGTTGGGGGTGGGGGTGGGGCAGATGGCGGGATTTGTTCCCAAACTGCCCTGATGGAACAGCGCCATTTGCACTTGGCCTGGACGTGTGTTTGCGATCATAGGGGAAGGCTCAGGTATCACACGGCTGGAGGGGGGGGTCCCACACCCCAAAACCAGCCGCTTGGCGCCCTCGCTACACACTGGCTTGTGTCAGTGTCTCCCAGGCCCTGGGCCCTGCACAGTGCTCTCCCTTCCCCCTCACCTCTTCTCCCATTTCTTCCTGGTTCACTCCTCATCCCCCAAAGGTCCTTCCTCGGGACAACCTCTCCTCACCCCTCCATCCTCTGTTATATCCCGTCATCAAATGTGTAACACTTGTCCCCATGGAGGTTTTGTTTACATTTATCTGTGATTATTTATTGACTACCGTTTGACTCACTCCAAGGACCAAACGCCACGAGAGCAGAAACCATGCCTGTCTCTGCTGGCCCCGCCCCACCGCGTCTAGCCCGGTGCCTGGAACACAGGCGCCCAGCGGCCATGTGCCGGATGGGTGTTAGCGAGGGACCCTCACCGGGCAGCGGGTTTGCTTTCAGGGCCTCCTCTCCTTCCTGACTTGCTCTCCTTCCAGCTTTCTCCCCGCAGCCCCCGCCTCTCCCCAGGACTCCATTTCCTAATCTCATTTGCTTCCATCGAAATCTACCCACCCTGAGTCTCTTCCCGGGGTTCGATGGAGAAGAGGGGCTAATTAGGGAAACTGACTGTCCTGCTCGTTTAAGGAAGGGGGTGTCTCCCCTGCCTCCCATTTCAGCAGGAGTGTCAGTGCCTTCACTCAGCGCTGGGAATTCCAGGAGTGTCTGGAGATGGCCAGAGAAGGGGACATTTGACTTGGAGGGAGGTGAAGTTTGGCCCACGCTGGCAGCACTCAGGTTTCATCCCCGTCTCCTCCCTGCCAGCTGAGCTTGTCTCTGTACTCAGATCACCTGCCCAGGGCACCAACTGTCACCCTGGGACCCCGCCTCCTTCCTGAGGTGCCTCCCTCCCCTCAGCCACCCACTGACCTTTGGGCTGCTTCCTTGTTTTCTGCCCGGGTGAGTCAGGGATGCTATAAACACCCAGCAGAACATGGCAACAGACGGATGTTTCCACTTCAGACTGTTTCAAAGTTCACTGGGAGAGAAGCGTAAAATGCGGAGGGCAGGGCCCGGCAGGCCTCGCGGCCACAGGTCTGCCCGCCGACTTATTTCTGTCTGCACTCATGGGAAGAGATGACACCAGTTGACAGCGAGGCTGGCCCTCCAGCTATCCCCTGACCCTCCTCCCCTCTCCCCGCAACCCAGGCTGGGGTCTTGCTCCATCTGGCTTCTCCCCTACCTTCAGTCTCTTTTTTCTAGAAGCTCCTTCTCTGTAACCTACAAGCCCGCTCAAGTCTCTGCATTTTCTATCTCAGAGGGCACTGGAGAAGCCTTCTCAGGATCCTTGGTGCCTCTCTGGCTCCAGCTCTCTCAGCTCTGTTAGGTGAGTTCCTTGACAGAACGGACTCCCTCGCTCGATCTACGTCCTCATTTCCTGGTTGACTTGTAAAACTAACACAGCCCTGTGGTTACAGGCGCACTGCATGTTTGTTGCAGAATATTTGGAAACTAAAAGATGCACAAAGAAGAAACCCAAAGTTGCCCCAATGATCTCAGAATCCAGAGATAACTGTTATTAATCCTGCACTTGGGCGTACTTTCTTCTAGAATTTGCTTTCTCTCTGTGACGATGTAGAAGTGGGTACTGTTGTGCATACAGTTTTGCTTTAGTCCCTCATATGCACAAGTTTAACCTTGTGAATTAAATCTCTTGGGGACTATTTCAAGTCATCTCCCACCCCCCTCCCCAAAAGCCTTTCCCTTGCAATCCTTCTGGTCCCCACATAGCTGCTGCCCTCTCTACCCTCCCCCTCAAAACACTTCACTCAACACTTTCACTTAACAGTTCATTAGGCTCTACTGTGATGCTGGCCAACAGTGACCTCTAACTGCTTCAGGGGCAGGATTGTGGTGTGAACCACTCAATCAACACGGTCTCATTAGCACCTAGCTCTGTGTAGACACCTTGTGTGTGCACGCGTGTGTGTGTGCGCGCGTGTGGAGGGGGGATGGCACGTAGTGGGTACAAGAGAACCCTGCTGGAAGGAGCACGCCATCTGGTAAGGGAAGGAGGCCTGCACACACTGACCCCCATCAACATGAGAATTACACGTGTGTGGGATAGACACTGCCTGAAGTGGTTCAGAAAAGCCAGCAAAGACAATGAAAACACTAACTCGAAAAGATACATGCACCCCTATGTTTGTCACAGCATTATTTGCAGTAGCCAAGACACAGAAGCAACCTAGGTAAATAGATGGATAAAGACAAGGTCCATATATACAATGGAATATTATTCAGCCATTAAAAAAAAAATGCTATCTTGCTATTTGCAACAACATGGATGGACCTAGAGGGCATTTTGCTAAGTGAAGTAAGTCAGACAGAGAAAGACAAATACTATATGATTTCACTTATTTTCTTAAAAAAAAACAAAAACAACACAAAACTAAAACAAACTCATAGAAACAGAGACCAAAGGGATGGATGCCACAGGGGCAGGTGTGGGGGAGGGGTGAAGAATATAGTCAATAATATCGTGGTAAGCATGCATGGTGACTGGTGGCTGCTAGACTTAATGTGGTGACTACATCATAAGGTATATCAGTGTTGAATTGCTATGTTGTACGTCTGAAACTAATATACTATTGCGTGTCAACTGTAGATGATGATAGATAGATAGATAGATGATAGATAGATAGATAGATAGATAGATAGGTACCTGGCATGACCCCAGCGAGCTCCCCGAGGAGGCAGGCATGAATATACTGGTGATCATTTCCCGGTGCATTGCACTAAACTAGGGCCTTAGGGAAAAGTCATTGAATTGATCGGAATTGATAGATTCTTAAAGATCCATGTTGAACAAACAGTTCAACACGCTTTCATTGATTTCTAACCTCCCCCCCAAGTTGCCTCTGGATCTCTCCTGCCCCAGCTGCCAGTTGGGGAGTCCACAGAGGCCATTCCCACCTGGGGAGGTGGGACAAAGCACTGCTTTGTGAAAAAAATCAACCTGCAGATGTGAAGTGCCCACTCTCTCCAGAGTCCTGCACTTTCTCAACACCAGAACATGTGTCTACTCCTGGGGCAGGCGGGGTCCCTTCTGGCCTCCTTAAGAACGCGGTTTCACTGAGCAAATGGATTTTCCTAAGTGGAAGCATTACTGCCAGTTTCCCAAGGGTTCCCATAATGTGCTGTGTATGCCTCAAGCAGCCAGTTCCATCAAGCATTTCATTATCTTCCTTGGATGTATTACTTTCCGGTCAGCTCTCAAGAGACAGTTTATTATCTTCTTAACAAACCTTAATTATTTACGAGCAATCATCAAGGCTTCAAGCTGGGTCTCTATGCCCCAACCCCTTAGGGAGGTCAAATGACCTGTGTCCTGTTTACATCTGGGGCACTTAGCTTCCCTGGCTGGGGCTCCTTGGGTTTTTGGCATTTCCTAGCAATCTGTGGGATATAGGGTCTTCAACCAGGTCTGCTTGTAAATCCTACCCATGTTTTAAGCTTGAATTCTCTACAACTCACGCACTTGCTGTCCAAGAGCACTTATGAGAGCGCCTCCTATATGCAAGGCACTCTGTTGAGCCCTGGGGATGTGAAGATGAAGAAAACACGGCGTAGCAGAGGAGAGAGTCGTGCCACTATGGAAGGCTGGTGAGGTTGGTGCTTATGTGCCGGGGAAAGGGTGTGTGTGCTAGACACATTAAGTCATCCCACCCTCACAACAGCCTTGAGTCAGATAATATTATCATCCTCCTTTTATAGTTGAGCAAGCTGAGGAACAAAGACAATTAAGTCACCCAGGTCATACAGCAAGGACAATTAAGAATGAGGGTGCCAGCCTGGGCAGTTTGGCTCCAGCATTCGTGCTCTTGGCCACCCTGCCATGCTGTGTGATAAAGTTTCATGAGACAGAAGCCCCAGGAGGCAGGTAGGCATGGTAGCAGGCGACACGAAAGACAGAGTAACCCACTCCGCTTGGGAGAGTTTGGACATTTTGTCGAGGACAATGTCGGTGCTAAAAGCGTCTTCCAAACTATTATTTATTAGCACTTTATGGAGAATTAGCTTATCAGATGCATGCATCCAAGGAGCTCAGACTTGAGAAGAACAGAGCAGAAGGGAGTGAGGTGGGAGGAAAGAATTCTTCTGGAGGCACCAGGATGGAAGGGCTGCGACTACCGGGAGGTGGGGAGCATGGAGTCTGGGTAACCGGAAAGAAGACGCCCAACGTAGACCTGTACAAGGAAGTGGAAAGGGTGGTGGTTGGAAGGCTCTAGAAATGTCTACAGTTTCTCCACTTGCTAGCTTTCTAATCGCGGATTAGATGTTCCACCTGGGGCTCCTGTCTCATCCACTGAGCAGGGATGCAAAGATCCCAAAGAAGAGAAAATGAAGGCCGCAGAGCTAATAAACATTAAGCCTGTGGCAAGAGGTGAGAGGGACAGGGCTTGTTCCTGGCGGAGCTGGTGGTGACAAACATCAGAAGCCTCTGAGTGTGTGATGGGAACTTATTAAGACGTCGAGCCCCATCCATGTCTTCGTTGCCGGTAATGTGAGAACAGGAGGACCCTGGCTGGAACAGGGGGAAGGATTCGGTGAGCGATCCGGGTCCCCAGCGACGGCTGTGGGCATGAAGTTCTTACAGACGCAGCGAATTCTCATCTAGGATTATGGAAAATGAGTGACTCAGGGTACAGGACCCGCCTCCCAAGGGCCGTGTCAGGTTTACAGCCAGCATCTAATAGCGCTCCACATCTGTTCACGGTGTTTCCCCATTTGTGGGCTCCTCCTCATCCGTTCATTTCAGCCTTTCTGCTCACAAATCTCTTAACAGAAGATGATTTTTAGCTCACTGTCATAATGAGCTCTAAAATTGATCTGTTCCTTAGCTACAACCATGCGCGATTACTATTCCGTTCTGACAGTTCGCCCACGGTGAGGGTGGGTGGTTATCTGGTGATTAACTTTTAACCAAGAGTGGGCCTAAAGCACAGACCATGGGGTGCGAAGCAGAAGCAAATCAGTAAGACAAAGGGGTCGCAATAGTCACTAACAGCTACTGAGCACTGGTTATGGGGTAGCACCCATTCCAAGCAAAGGCCACATTTGTGTCACTCAGTCTTCCCTCAACCCATTTGTCCAGTGAGACCGCGGGCGCAGAGAGCGTAAGTGAATTGCTCAGCGTTCTGCGTTCAGTTGGTTAAGGAGTTGGAACCCTAACCCAGGCATTCTGGTTCCAGAGCCTGGGCGCTGAAGCCCCATGCAACGCTGCTTCCTGAAATGGCCACGGAGGAGCTGTGTGCTGATGGGGGGTCGTACAGACATGGGAATGAAAGCATCAAAGAGACATTTCTGAATCAGAAGAGACATGGGAGAGGAGAGGACGGGGGGTGGGAGGTGGGCCTGAGGTTCGAAGCCAGGCGTCAGCCACTGGACAATGGCTGAACTTGTCTGTGATGCTGCAGGATGGGGGTCGGGTGGACCGAGGTCCACCTGTTGCTCTTTACCCCAAGGTGGGAGGAGAACAGCTGGTGCGCCATGGTCAAGCTGGCAGTTGTCGTGTGTCTCCCTGTAGTTAGAAGAGGAAAGTGTCACTGGGCATTCCTTCAGAGGTCTTGTGGGCAACAAGCGGGTGTGCCCATTTCATTTACTTCTCCCTCCCACTTCCCACTTTCTCTCCAGTCTGGGTGACTGTCAATGCCATCTCTGTGGAAACCCCACAGGAAGTCCTTCGGGCCGCCCGGGGAAAGAGTGTCACCCTTCCGTGCACCTATCACACTTCTGCCTCCAACCAAGGTGGATTTATCCAATGGGACAAGCTTCTAAGGAGTCACACGGTAAGGATCTTTAAAAGTTGGGGGCATTGTGGAAAGGAGTACAGCTAGGAAGTGACAGAACTGGGACTTGCCAGGGATGACAAGGGGAGAGCGTGCTGGGATCTGAGAAAACCCCACTGAGCCACAGGTGCCCCTGTGGTGTGGGCTGCCTCCCTGCCCCAGTCTTTGGATACTTCTACGAAGTGAATGTGCACGTTTAAGACGAGCACTGCATATGAGGGCTGCTTGTTCTCAGGGGCTGGTGTGTCAGTGCCCCTGGGCTGGAGATGGTGGATGGGGGTAGTCAGGACCGGCCGGGAGAAGCACGGTGCCAGGGCCTCAGGGGGAGACCAAGTGGTATTTCTCCTTCCTCCCAGGAAAAGGTGTGCATCTGGGAATTTTCGACCCGAAACTACGGCTACGGTGACCTTTATAAGAACCGGGTCAAAATTTCGGACAACGTTGAGAAGTCAGACGCCTCCATCACCATTGACCAGCTGACCATGGATGACAATGGCACCTATGAGTGCACAGTCACGCTGCCGAGAGACCTGGAGGGCAACTCCAAGTCACGTGTCCGCCTCTTGGTGCTCGGTGAGTGTCTCCATCTCCTTCCTGGGAGGCAGGAAGCAGGTGAGGCAGGGGTGGGGGTGCAGGGAGCAGAAGCACCCCGGTGGTAGGATAAAGGCCTGGCCTGACCAGGAGCTAAGACCCCTCCCACCTCCCGTCTGCCTCAGGGCAGCAGCTCTGCACCTCCCGCTGGAACAGAAGGCTTCATTCTGAGTTCTCCCCGAATGGCAGACAGGTCCCCAGGGCAGAGGAGCCGGCCCATCCGGAATGGTCCCTGGGAGTCAGCCCGGGAGACCCTGTCCCTGCTGTCCAGTGCACTTCCTGGACATTGTCCTCTTTTTCATGCCAAACTTACTAAGGAGAAGAAACGGGAAGCCGTAGGTCCTGTTGGAAAGGTGTTCATTCACTGTGCCTTACTTTGATGCCGAGGAGCAGCTGTGTCCCTTACAGGCAGTGCGTCTTTCCCTGTCGTAAACTCAGTAATCCGTAGAAAGCCTTCCCACCACCGCCTCCCACCCCTACACCCCAACCATATGCCGTCGGTCAGGCTCTACTGCCTTTGAAATCCGTCCCAAGATAAAACATTCTTTTCATACAAATAACTTCTTATTGGAGTTTATAGTTTGGGAAGGATCTGAACGATCATCTGTATTAATATCTCCACTCTGTAGATGAGGCCCAGAGAAAGCACCTGACTCAAAGTCAAAGTTATTGGGGAACCATCAGTGAGCCCTACTCTATGACCAACAGAAGAGGTAGCCCCCACCCCGGGAGGGAGCAACACTCTAAACCAAAACAATGCATCGTTTTTTTTTCTTTATTTTTTCCCCTTTATGCTGCTTAGTTGGGGTATAATTTTTAACTGCATAAGGTGACTGCCTGGCTTTTTGAAGCATTGTAATGAGTCAAACAGCACAGCTCTGAATGAAGACTAACTGTCCCCCCTTTCCACCCTCCTACCAACAAAGTAGCAGCGGTGACACTGACTGTTCTTCCACGTGTCTCTCCATGTCCTTCAACACACACACACACACACACACACACACACACACACACACACACATACACACACACTCACACACTCACACTCACTTTTTCTTTTTCTTTCCATCTTTTGTTTTTTAAAGAGAGATCATATTATAATGGCCACTCTGCAACTTTCTTTTCTTAGTTTCATGCACATTTCTCCAGATCAATACATACATATCTACCTATTAACAGAATACATTCCAACCCATGGGCGCGCCATGATTTATTCAAGTGTTCATACTGATGGTCAGTCTTAGGCTGCTTCCATTTTTTTTTTGTATAAACGATACCGACATGAATATATACCTATTTGTTCACTGTGTTGTTTTTATTTCTATTGGGTAAATTCTTAAAAGTAGGATTTCTAGGTTGAAGACTATGTCTTATTCCATGTTAATCCACACTGGCAAATTACTTCCCTCAGAGCACCTTAAACTGCCATGAGCATTATATGAGCCTGCCTGTTGCCTCATAGCCTTACCAGTACAGAATGTTATCAATCTTTTGGATTTTTATAAATTGTGTTAATTTGCTAGATGAAAAAAAAATCAGCTCCATCTATGTCAACATTTTAATTTAACATTCCAGTAAGTTCACCCCCCGCAGTCCCCCACTTCCCAAGCTAGGACCTGACACCGTACAGCTGGGGACCAGCAGCGGGAAATGAGTCTGTTTCCTCCGTCTCCTTAGCCCACCACCTCTCACGCCTATTTCTGGCTCCTCTGAGGTCATGGTCAAAGTGGGAGTGGAGGATGGGGTTAAAGGGAAAGGGGAAAAGGCCTGTGTACCTCGCTAGGCCATCTGCAACTCTCTCCGGGTTGTCACAGAATTCCAGTCTCTCTAGATTGTCTTAGCTTTTCGATGTCCCCTGTTATTGCACTCTACAGCAGACGTCAGCTTGCCAGTTATGTTTTCTCTCCCATGCCACTAACCTGCATTCTGCCCTTCCTGGGCCCATGCCAACCAAATGTCAGGGGGCAGAGCAGTGCTGCCAGCCCTGGATGTGCCTATCTGCCCTCATGTGTCCACAGAACCCTGCACCTTGGACACATCACTCATTGAGAACTAGGGCGCCTTTTTTTTTTTTTCAGCTGAGCCATCCTGCCACCTGTTGGCAGCTCAGCAGCAGCTCAGCTCTGGCCAGGCATCGAACCGCTGTTGCTCAGAGCTCACACTCTTGAGCGAGCTCTTAACCAACTGAGCCATTCGACCAGCCCTCTCTACTTTATTTTTATTTTTATTATTTTTTTTATTTTTTAGCTGAGCCATCCTGCCACCTGTTGGCAGCTCAGCAGCAGCTCAGCTCTGGCCAGGCATCGAACCGCTGTTGCTCAGAGCTCACACTCTTGAGCAAGCTCTTAACCAACTGAGCTATTCGGCCGGCCTGAGAACTGGGGTTCTTAACTGCTCTTCCACACTGAAGGTTTTGCTTAGGGCCTGGGACACTGAAACCCACCCCCACCTGTAAGTGCATGACCCGGTTTTGATGGGGAGCCCTGAAACAGCACCATCATACTTTATTATCTCCTAGCATGTTCACAGCTGTGTTTTAGCTGCCCCAGATAATATGTGGAGTGCTGTCATGTGTTTTTCTACCATTGAATCAGGGGGCCTGCTTCTCTGGAGGGCCCCCTACATCAGAATCTCTCTTGCATGGAAGGCTGCTGGAATGGAGTTTATTTCTGCTCTGTTTTCCCGTTCTCCCACTCTAGCAACTTTAGTTCAAACACAAATAAGCAATTAGCTGTGTCAGGTGATCCTGGCCTCTTTAAAAATAGAAATTTTTAAAAAATAAGAGACCGAAAAAGAACATTCTCCTATATTACTGGGCTGTGCTCTCCGTGTTTCCTTCCAAGCCCCGTGCACATGCTCATTTATGTACACAACTGACTCTGAAGCCTCACAAGTCGGTGCTTCTCTCTTTTCATTCCACACCACACCACGCTCCCTGCTGTCATAGCCCTTGGCAGCAAGACGCAGGGTGCCCTGTTCCTGGGCTGGGCACTCAGGCTGTTTCCAATTAGAGCTATTATGCATAATGTTGCAACAAAGCGTCTTGTGTGCATAGCACCTAATTTTTATTTGCATTAATTTTTATTTGCATGAGCTCCTTGGAGAGTACCAAAAAGAGAATGAGAGTTTTTATCTGGTTTCTCCCATTCTCCCCCGTCCCCCATTGCCCATATTCGCCCCACCTGGTCCTGCTCTGCCTAATTCTGTCTCCTGCCTCCCCTTAAACAACCCCCAACTTTCGGCAATGAGCTGATTGGGGAAAGGCAGCAGGACCCCGCTTAAGTGTGAACATCTGGTCCCCCCTCCCACAGCTGCTACATCTTAGGAGATGAACTAATTAACTCCAAGGACAAGTTTAACCTGAGGCTATGGAACTCGGTGAAACCCCTGTTTTGCTTTAAAAAGAGAGCGATCATTTTGTACTATATGTTAAGAAATCCAGCAAAATTATTTCTTAAAAAATCAAGGTTTTTTTCCCCCAAATGGCTCTCCTGCGGGCCTATTGTTAGGCAGAAGGGCTTTAATTATGCGGGGTTGCCCAGTCGGTCTGGGTGACCTGACAGTAAACTGAGGCAAGCAGCGGACTTCTGGACGGACCATGGGGAGGCCACCTGGCCCTGAGACCTGGCCCAGCACTGGAGGGATCTGCCGTCACCCGGCCTCTGGCGCCCCCTGGCGTCCGCGTAGGGAGTTGTATGCTCTGCTGAGGCCTCCAGCCCATCGCGTCCCCTGCTCCCTTCCTGTCGCTCCACCGGCAATAAATATTCAGGTGGCACCTACCTTCTGTCTGAGGGGAGGACCAGACAACTGAGACTTGAGATCTCCGGGAGTCCCTGCAGTGGGTGGAAGGGCTGCTGGGCTACAGGGAAGAGGTGCGTCCTGAACAGCTCACCCCAGAACTTTGAGGGGAGGGGGCCAGCACAGACTGGAGTTCACTCTCCATGCTCAGCGACCCTGCACCTGGGCGAGCTGGGTTGTAGGGTGGGCAGTACTCTTTACGGGGGCAGGCAAACCATCCAAAGGGGCATTTAAAGAAAGAAGCGGAGGGGACAGGCCTGCCACCAACCAGTTCTTGTGTAACCCTGTCCTTTGTGTGACCTCCTCTGCCCACTCCCGAGGACACTGCCTGAGGCCTCAGGCACACTTCACTCCTCTTCTGGCCTCAGGGCCTTGGCACACGCTGTTTCCCCTGCCTGGAGGGCACTCACCTCTCTCTGACCACTGCTACCTTCACTATGGCCTCCTCCACTCTCTCTCTTCCTTCAGGCCACAGCCCAGGCTGTGACTGCGTTCATGTCCCTTATCTGTACCTTCCCTGACCTGCCTCCTGCCTGGTCATCGTCCAATGACTTGTCCTTTGCCCCAGAGCTCACTACATCAGCCCAGATCCCAACAGTGTCAGGCATTCATAGGTGCCAGTGAGGCTTGTACGTTAACGGCACTGAGGTGCTGAGTGGAAGGTACCAGCTTAAGGTCTTTAGGAATTTTGGGAGATCCGGTTAGGATGTGAGTTGTGGGGGCCTGTTGGTTTTTGTACCCTCCTTTCTGTGGGCTTCCCTGTCCTAATCTCTGCCCGTCTGTCCCCTCCCATCCCTTTGGTCCTCACCTCCCACCCAGCACACACCTCTGCGGCTGCCGGGGGGCCTCCACCATCTCCCAGCCTCTCCGGGCAATTGCATTTTATCAGCAAAGTCCAGGAAGAGGGTGATGCTTCACCCAAAGAGAGCGCTCCTGAGAAGTTCGAGGTGACGGGCTTCAGAGAGAGGGGGCTCCCGGCTAACCCAGGGGTGGGCAAGCTGTGGCCAGATCCACGCATAGCCTGCTTTGATGTGAAAGCTAAGGGTGGCTTTCACATTTCTAAAGGGTTGTTTACAAAGTAGCAGCAGTGACAGGGACCAGGATGTGGCCCGCGAAGTCTAAAATATTACCATTTGGCCCTTTACAGAGAAAGTCTGTGGTCCCCTCATTTGACAGGTGGGGGACACTGAGGGGCTGAGGGAGTTATCTAAAGTAGTCCAGGTGAGTCACTGTCAGAGGGTGCTTCTGTGGGCGGGTGCAGAGAGCCCTGGACCTGGAGGCGGAAGGCGGGGCTCCCAGGCCCAGCTCTGCCCGCACCCTTGCCAAGCCTTCTCTTTGGGCCTCACTATCCCATCTTTATAAGGGTGATGACTCTAAACTAGCCATCAGGAAGGATGCCTCTCTGTGATGGTGACAGGCCACTAGGGGATATTATTTGGGGTGGACTGATCTCGGAGCATTACTTCTCACCTCGAGGCTATGGATTTCTCTGCCTGTGATCAAACAAGGCAGCGTGTGTGCGTGTTTGGGGTGGGAGGTGGCTGTCACCCAGCCCCACTTGATTCACGCCTTCTCTTTGGCCCCTCCCCTACCCAGTGCCACCCTCCAAACCAGACTGCGGCATCGAGGGAGAGACGGTGATTGGGAACAACATCCAGCTGACCTGCCAATCAAAGGAGGGCTCCCCAGCCCCTCAGTACAGCTGGAAGAGCTATGACCTCCTGAACAAGGAGCGGGCAGGCGCTCCAGGTAACAGGCTCGGCAGGGAGGGCGGGGCCACCAGATCAGGTAGCTGATTGGCCAGGGCTGCCAGGGACCCTGTTCCGTTCACAGTGCGCTATCTTGAACCATCTCTTTAAGCACCGTTTCCTCATAATAATACCTACCTACCTACCGCATAGGTTATTGTGAGAAATGAAAGTGATTTCATGTAAAGCACTTAGTGGAAGCACATGCGACATGTTAACTGGTTTTCCTTATTCCCCAAAACTCAGTTCTCTGAAATAAGCATGTGGGTGGGGTTCTGCTTTGGATTATGATTCTGTCCCAAAGTATACATTTGAGACCCCAAGTCTAACTCTATGGCTCTACTCAAGGGTGGGAATTTCCTGTCCCCATTCCCTCTGCAGGCTGGTCCATCTCAGACTGCTCTGAACCCCCCCACCTCCCCAAAGGTGCCCCTTTTTATAGCCACACCCCACCACAGACTGGGACAGCTGTGAGAGCCCCATGCTCTCATGGGGATGGAAGGCTTACTTACGGTTGTCAGACCAGTTTTGTCCTGGGAAGCTTGGTATTTGAACTTTTGGTCAGGAAACAAACTGGAAAAAAGGGGAAAAAAACTATATAAATACCCTGCTGTCATTATGTCGGAGCCCACGGGTGTGGGGACACCCCGCCAGGATTCCTGGGCCCGATGCGCACTGGCTGCCTGGTGGCTGCACCCGGTGCTCCTGGAGATAAGGAAGACCAGGCCTGAGGGCGCCGTTGCTTTAACTTCTGGGAGGTCTCCGGGGCAGTGTGGGTGTCACCGCGGGTTCTGAGAAGACTGGGGCGCCGGAAGAGCGGCAGGTCCTGGTGAGCCCCGCCGGCCCGATGATGCACATTGGGGCTTCAGTCAAATCAGGATGAACTTTGTCACTCTACCCTTCACTCATTTGGGGGCAAAACAAGAACTTCTTCAAGTTTGTAAATCCATCCTTTGAACCCAGAGCTTCATGTGCTGCAGGAGTAAGAATCTGGATGTCAAGGAAGACAGAGGAGGGGTGGTTCTGGGGCCTGGAGCACTTTAGGGAGGATTTCTGAGGGGTGGGCATGGGCCCTGCTCCCAGCAGCCAGGAAGGATCTGGAAGGCCAGAGGTAGCAGCCGAGCTTGCTGACAAGCCATGAGATTGGGGGCGGACAGGGAGTTGACATCAGCGCCTCTGGGAGACCAGGGCGTCTCTGCAGGGAAGTCTCTCTCCAGCGAGGGCACAAGGAAGGCGGGAGGCCACGGTCCTGTGCGTTTCCCGTCTCAGCCACCAGGTGTCACCACTGTGGCAGAAACAGTGTTTCAGCTGGATTTCAGGAACTACTGAATCCTTTCCAAGGAAAGGGGTTTGGGAGCCCCAACTCAGAATCAAAGCAGGTCTTGGGGCATCGGATATGCACTAGTTAACCCCAGAGCAGCTTCTAATGTCTGCTGTTTGCTTCGAGGAGCTGGGGAAGGATGGTGAGGCAGGCACTATTATTATTCCCATTTGTAAATACAGAAGCTGAGGCTCCGTGAAGCCAAGTTACTTGCCCAAAGTCTCACACACACAGTAAGCGGCAGAGCCAGGCTTCACGCTCAGGGTGCCCTGCTGCATGGCAAGCACTTCAGAGCTGTGCGTGCTGCCTGGTCTCACCATCCTGCAGCCCGGAGGTGGGTGCTTTCTCCAGACTGCAGGGGGGGCCCGGCCAGGCACCGTGGCAGTGCTCGTACCCACCCAGGAATTCAGGTGCCTGAGTCCTGGCCCGTCTCCTCACCCCAACTCTCCTTCCTTCCCAGCCGTGGGGCAGGTCTTGTCTCTGAAGAACATCTCTACAGACATGTCAGGTTTCTACATCTGCACCTCCAGCAACGAAGTGGGGACAGAGTCCTGCAACATCACGGTGACCGTCAGACCCCGTAAGAGCCGTCATGGGTGGAGGGAGGGAGGGAGAGGTGGGGAGAGGACAAAGGTCAGAGATGACTAGCTGGGGGTCCAAAGAACCAGCTGAGAGAGGCTGCAGTGGCCGAGAATTGGCAGCCTCTTCAGGGTCCCCCACCGGCTGGGTGGCTGGGGTGACCTTGGCCACGTGCTCTTATCCCAGGCACCCCTTGCCTGGAGGCGAGTCCAGCTCCCTTGGTTCTTTGGAAGTAGCACCTAGGACTGGCTTCTGCCGACCTGCTCGGTCCAGCCTGCCCTTAGGACCACTCAGCGGGCCGGGGGTGTGCCCAGAGCCAGCCGCCAGAGAGTCTGGACCCCATCCTTCGAGATGGGACACTGACCAGCTCTGGGACACGCTGGAGTAGGAACTGGCCTGGCTGGCAGCTTTCCTGGAGCCTGGGCAGCCCAGGGAGTACAGCGATGCAAGGCCATCGCCCTCTGACCTTGTCTGTGTCTCCATCCTGAAGCGTATTCCCAGCCCTGTGCGGTCCCATCCTACAAGGCCCTGCCACAATGCTCCCGAAGCAGGCGGATGTGCTCCCTGGGCTGGGAGGGACCCCCTGTGGCACCGGCACCTGTGGAGCCCACTCCCAGCTGAGCTTGGCCCTGGAGCCTGGGCTCAAGTCAGGGATGTGGCTGGGGCTCAAGGTTCAGTGGCTCTGTCCCTTGCAGCCTCCATGAACGTGGCCCTGTATGCGGGCATCGCGGGTGGCGTGCTGGTGGCCCTCATCCTCATTGGCGTCCTTGTCTACTGCTGCTGCTGCCGGGAGAAGAGCGAGGACAAGGACTCCAGGCCGTGAGTGTTGGGGCAACCTGGTGGCACAGGTCTGGGCAGATTGAGAAGATGCGTCCCAGCTCCTCAGAGCCTCTTCCACTCACCGGGGGACAGCTTTCATTTTGATCAGCCCCATCTTATAGCCGAGAGGAGAACAAATGATTCACTCAAGTCTTCAAGTGGCATTGCAGTCCAGACGTGGCCCAGGGCCCATGGGTCTCAGAACAAGGCTTCCTGTGGTGCCAAGGCCAAGTGGGGTGGAGGCTTTGCCACCGCGGGTCCCTCCTTGTCCGGTGGAGCCAGCATGTTTCCGTAACGCCCTCAGATCACAAGTGGAACAAGTCTGTGCCACTTCCTGTCCTCACTGAGCCCTGCCCTTCGGCCCAGCGCCCCTTTGCAGTTGGATGGGTGGGGGTGGCGGGTCTTAAGGAGTACTCACTCGGCCCAGCTCCTTGGTGCAAAGCTTCTCTGTCCTCCCTGCCGCAGGAATCGGGCTATCTACCGGGAGCCTTCAGAGCAGGTGAGGGAACATTCTGGAGGGGAGCCTCTGAGGGAGCTTTCTGGAAGGCGGGACGAGGAGGACAACTACAGGCACGAAGACCTGGAGAGCAATGGCCGCCAGTCCCCCGATTACGCTGGCCGACGGTGACCAGGGCCTGCTGCAGGATAAGGGGACGGGGAGGGGCTTGTTCCGGCCTCCGCACCCCCTCTGCTCCCAGCCCGCTTTCCTGACCCTTCATCCCAGCACTGACAGTGCTTCCTCGGGAGCGTGGCCAGGCCCGGCTGCGGTGGTCTCCCCGGGGGCTCACCTGCCCCGGCACCCCGCCCCGCTGCCCGCCCCGGGGGCTCACCTGCCCCGGCACCCCGCCCCGCTGCCCGCCCCGG